AACATAGATGTACTACTGACTTCTATCACTTTATTGAAAGGAACAGTTAATGATTAATTATTTGACCAATCTTACATGTCTATATTTGTTTTCCTGAGTAACCACTTTGAAGAAATCAATATGTAATACAACAACCATTGTTAATTTCCTATCACCTTGTCTGAATTTCAGTATTGCTTGTATTGTTCTTGTGGTATTTTGTAAATGTATGTGTGTTTGTTAATATGTTTTTGTTCATTTATTTTTAAAAAATAAAATAAAATAAATAAAAGCAATGTCTTTTTGTTGTAATTGATTAACAACTCAATTTTATATCTCCCATATTGCTTGGTCCAAACCCATGCCCAGGATACTAAAGTGCTTATGAAGTGTTTCTTGCCTGTCTAATTACACAGTCTCAATATGCACAGAAATTGTGAATGAACTGAAAAATGCAAGCAGATACCATTTTACCTGTTCCATTTTGATCAGAAAACAATCAATGAAGTCCCGAGGATTGTTGATGTCCAGGGATTCTTGGTGTTCTTTTACTCTTTCCAAAACATAACTTTTTACATAATCAAAATTTTTAAGTATTTTCTTATGGATCCCGGGGAGATAATCAATGATAAAAGGAAAAGTATTGCAGACCTTAGAGAAAAAAAATTTTAGTAAATTAAAAACATGTAATGAAGACATATATGAACACCATAAGCCAAACCCCAAGTGAAAACTCTAGTAAATTAAAAAATGGTCTCTAGGCTGGGGATATAGCTCAGTGGCATAAGCACCTGCCTGGCAAGCACAAGGTCATGAGTTCTATCCCTGGTACCACAAAAAAAAAAAAAAGGTCTCTAAGATGAATGTGGTGGCACACTCCTGCAATTGCAGCAACTCCAGGGAGACTGAGGCAGGCAGACTACAAGTTCGAACCCAACCTGAGCAATTTAATGACTTAGCTGGTCCCTGTCTCAAAATTTAAAAAAAAAAAAATTAAGTGCTGGGAATACAGCTCAGTGTAGAGGACCTGAGTTCAGTCCCAAGCACAATCAAAAAAAAGAATTCTCCAACTCGAGAAGGAACATTTGCTTAAACATTTACAAGAGGTCTAGGGATATAGCTCAGCAGCAAAGTGCCTTGCTTGGCAAGCACAGCTCCTGAATTTGATTCCCAGGACCAAAAAAAAAACACATAGACATATAAAAGAATCTAAAGAGTGATAAACTTGAAGCTTTATAAATAAATGGATGCAACTAGAGACCATACTCATAAGTGAAATAAATCCGAACCATGTGTAAACACCATATTGTCTCCCTAGTGTAAGAACCTGAAAAAGTAAATAAAATATGAAAGGTACAATAGATATTGTGAAAGGGAAAGAAACTGCTTGATAGGAAAGAACAACTAGGATGAAGGAAAGGAGAAAAGAAAGAAGGAAAAATATATATACATATATACAAAAGATAGCTTAGATAATTGTACTACTAATTTCTATTGGTTTATTTAAAGTAACAGTTAATGTTTCATTTGTTTGATCAACCTTGCATACCTGTATCTGGTAATCTGAGCAACTACTCTGAAGAAAACAATAAGTAATACAACCATTGTTGATTTCCTATCATCTTGTTTTCAAATTCTATATTGTTGTTATTGTTTTTGTGTTGTGTTGTCTTTGTTTTTGTTATCTTGTTTTTGTTCTTTTCCCTTTAAAAAAATAAAATAAAATTTAAAAAAAAGAAAAAAAAAGATTCTTCTATGCAGATAAACTATTCCTTGAGCGAAGGTAACAAGAATTTCCTACACTCATACATTATTTTCATAACATTAAAGAATCTTTATGTCAGTTCTTTCATTTTTACCTACAACCCTGAAATACAGAATAACATAAATTGCTAAGATTCACATTTTATAGAGGACAGAGGTTAAGGAAGTTTGTACAACCTTATGTAGAGCACAGAGATACTTCGCACTATTTCTACTACTAGCAATCAGCCTCAGGATAGAGTCACAATTTTACAACTGGGAGGGGTGTAAAGATATCATGGAACCCAACTCACTATCTTATGGATAAGTACTTGTCCACAGAGTACACAAATTAAACTACTTCCGTACAATCATGCAATTATCTTTCAGGTAGAGTATAAGTTGTAACAGTTCAACAGAGGGCAATATTGTAATGTTTGGCTATGCTTCATACATGCCAAAGCCTGACTCCTGTCATCCTGACTTTTGCTACTTTCTCAACTAGGATTTTAACTGAAGGATCAAACAGTCCCCAGGATTCAAAGGTTCCTGACAAAGTCTGTCCTCCCAAACATTCTCCATCCTTGATGTCCTAAATTAGGATATTTCTGCCAAATAATGTGATGAAGAGGTCTCTAACTGTTGACTGGTAGACAAGCCTGTGGGTAATGGAAGCTTTCAGCAAGGACTTCAATCTCCATTGAGCACTGCAGATGTCCTTCAGAGTAATCACCAAGGACTGATTGGCAACTGAGTTTAGAGTTTGGCAAGGAAACTCTTGGCCCATGAGCTTGAACCCCAACCCCTATATGCAGGTAGTCATCTTCCTGTCTGTAAAATAAAGATCTGAGATATCTTTCTAAAGTGTTCATATCATGCCACTAAGATCTGGACAAGATTGTAGTATCCAAACTCTCACTTCATGGTAAGAATGGTAGGCATATGGTAGCCACAATAAATAGCCCATTCCTACACAAAATTTTCCAAAAAAAAAATCAAGTAAAAACTGTCACAATCAATTTTGTCAGAACTCTAGAAAATAGTCAAATGTTTACAACAACAGAAAGTCGCTTCTCAGCCTTTGGGTTAAGATCAAGTATAGTATAACGACCAAAAGAAATCTGAATCAAAAAGAGAGTGGGCAACATAAAAATGATAGGAAAGCTTTGTGACACTGTTTTTGCCTTTGTCCTACCTTCGCCCTTGGCGTAGCAGTGGCTCTGACAAAGACTGCCCTGTTACCATGTAGGAGAGAACAGCGATTGTGCTGCTCTGTCCTAGCCTGGCTGAGGACCACTGGAAGTATTGAAGCAAAGCACTTGACTTTGTGTCATCTAACTCAGAACTCACTGGGAGGAAGCAGTGGGCAACACTGCAAACCTTGTAATGCCACTAAGCAACCTGGCCGACCACCTGAGGCAAAAGAATACAGTTAAGGCACATGGTAGAACACTGCAACCCTGGGAAGGAAAGCTAGGGAGAGAGAAATTTTGGAAAATTAAGACATTCAAAAAGTGCTTACATGCATTATGTGATGTATTTTAAACTAGGAACACACCCAAGACAAAAGCTAAGAAAGGAGCTGAGAAGACCCTAAGCTTTAGTGTCTGCTCACTTCTAGCCTCTGCTTAACAACAAGTAAAGGTTGTAACACAGAGTACCTGGCCAGCACCAATCTGGACAAAACTTCCTCCCTCCATCCCTTTATTTTTAGCTCCTTTTTCTTGCTTTCCTATCTTCCTTCCATCTTTTC